GTTAAAAGCATCAACAGCTGCATTCTGACTAAAACACTGTCAACATCATTTCAGAGGAACAGCTTGTGTTGGACAGTATACATTTTAAACACATTCCTAAATGTTGTGCTAATTGTTATTGCTGAATGGACTGCAAAAATCACTGGCAAATTCATATTTCAAACGCATTCAGTAACAACTGTAATATTCAAGTTTAATATCAAAGCTACTACTTTTTCTGATTCGTGAAAAGAGACAAAATACTGCTTTTAGTCGTCTTTTTTGCTATTTAAATTCGATGTAGAAGTGTTATGTTGAAGTGGCATTAAAGAAGATTTGAAAGTCTGTCTGAACAAATGTGTGTTTATATTGATAATCTCTATAAGCCTTCCACAATTAATCAGTCTTAATCTGTATTTTGTTTTGTTTTCCAGTAAAAATAAGAAAACAAGATAAACCAATATGAGGAACAATAATAGCTAATAGATAATTTGACACATTTTCAAAGTTTATTTTTCTTACCCAAATTGTATTTTTTTTAAGCACACCTAGATTTAACACGATTACAAAAAAAGAAAAAAAGTCTGTCAAATTTGATTTACAGATACATTTATTTGTAACTCATGATCTTGCTACAGACATATAATGTAACATGCAAATATTGGCCACTAGTAGCCATCAATATGGGAGGAAATATTTAGAAAAACATCAAGAGGTTAATTTAACAAACCACTGAAAACACTGTCTCACATTTTCATCGTACAGCAGGTCCCAGCAGACACGAGTCACACAGAGATATAGTGAAGAAAGACGCTACACAAACACATCCAGCCTCATGCTGTTTTTACACAAATAATAAATCAATTCCCTGTTTTGTAGCCTGTAAGTGATTGTCTCTTGGAAATGTTCAACACAAGCTGTTTTTAGAGTCTGAACTCAAAAAATCTATCAAAGCACCAAATATAAAAGGCTCATTTATGATATGTAAAATAATACCTGTGAAGACAACATGTTCCAAAATTGTATGTATGTATTATTTGTTTGTTTGTTTGTCACTGTACTGAAGCCAAAACCAATTATTAAAATATTAAAGAAACACTGTTTTAATTCAATGGAAATGTATTTGTATAGTTTATTTAAAGGATGAATTTGTTCCAAACAATGTAGTGCCTGAAAATAATGTCATTCAACCAACAGTATAGACAAATTATGATCATATGTACTTTGCAGGGAAAGAGAAATGACCTGAACCCTGAACTACTGTATATAATATATAAATAATAATTTATAAATAATAAAATAAATAAAAACTCAAATAAAAATGAATAAAACTATATATATAGACATTTTAAATAGCTAATAAAAATGAAAAAAACAACACTTGTTTTTTTACTTTTTAACTAAAATTAAAAAGAAAATAAAAATCTAAAAATAAAACTAATTTAAATATTAATAAAAAATATAGCTAACAGGATCTCAATGAAACTAAAGTAACACTGAAGATTTATTTATTGACTTATTTTTAAAAGCCTGTCCTGAACAAGATAAAGTGTTTATCATCACACACTGACTGAAGCTCAAAAACCATGTTGTTTGCACACTGATAATTTGGATAAGATAGGCTCACATCAAAGTGTAATTTTAGATAGTCTCCCTTTAACTCTCATATCACAGCGTTACAGCAGTGATACATGTGACCATCTCTACCCTCTGCGCTAGCAATTTCATGCCATGTGTTTTCTTCCATTCAACACTCAAAGATCACAGACCCGTTTCCATGAAAATCCAAAAGACTCACTAGAACTGAGTTTCCATCGCCACCTTGGAATTATAAGGTTCTATCTGCACTCTGAGCAGTTTTGAGATATTGAGCTTCAAAGTTTTTGCAATCCATATAAACTTTAAAAGACAAAAAACAAAACATGATGTAAATAAGTTACAGAATATGTCACAGAATAACAGAAGAATATGAATAACTCAATAAAAACTATATACTATATGTAAAAGTACAATTCAACAATTAAGGCAAGAAACTGCAGGCAACTTTTTTTAATACATTTTTAAACTGGCTTTATCTAGTGTTCAGATTTCGGTTCAGGAAATGTATGCAAATTAGTACATATTTAATTAGGTAATGCGTCATTTGCATATTTAAAATAACATTTCAGAAAACTTGTAATACAAAAAAAATAAAAAAATAAAAATCTTAAAAGGAATAGTTGACCCAAAAATTAAAATTTGCTGAATATGTACTCACTCTTGCGCCATCCAAGATGAGTTTGTTTCTTTATCGGAACAGATTTGGAGAAATTGAGCATTATATACATCACTTGCTCACCAGTGCATCCTCTGCAGTAAAACACGCAGCTTTTCGCTTCACAGGGCGGTAATTGGTGGACTGGAGTCGTGTGGATTACTTGTGGATTACTGTGATGTTTTTATCAGCTGTTTAGACTCTCATTCTGACGGCACCCATTCACTGCAGAGGATCCATTGGTGAACAAGTGATGTAAAGTTAAATTTTTCCAAATCTGTTTCAATTAAGAAACAATCTCATCAACATCTTAGATGGCCTGAGGATGAGTAAATTTTCAGCAAACGGGTGAACTATTCCTTTAACGTAATCAAGGAACTGGGGAAGTATGGTATTAACTATTAGTTAAATTTTACCTATTCACCTGGGGTGTCTTGCCTTTAATTTAAATGAAATTATTTATTCAAAATACATACAATTGTTTTCAGGGGTTGTGTCAAGTAGAAACAACTGAACATTGTTTACACTGTGACTTCCCTGTGTATAATAAAAAGATAAGCCTGCTGTATATATTATATATATATATATATATATATATATATATATATATATATTCATTCTGAGTGAATAGATGAATCACTGTGTATCACCATATCTATTAAGGTTTCCGTGTAAGCCATCAAAGAGTAACATTGGCAGGAATGATTACAACCCAACTGTATACCTCTACTTTTCAAATCCCCATACAAACATCATTTTATTTCTAAACTCCTAATCACTTGACCTATAGTGGCAAGCTGCGTTAAAAGCATACTTTTTACATTGATATGTAGGTCAAGAGCATGTCTGTCATTAGGCTGCCTACTAGAATGCTTTTTATGCTCGGCCCATTTGATGTAGATAATACTGGAAATGTAGCATTACAAGGACAAGAAATCAGTCGTGATTGTGAAGTGTGTCCCTGTTTACATACACCAATGTCAAAAACATAAATACCCGATGCCAGAAAAATAACTTACTACTTACCAGTGTACCACTTCAATAGATTAACCATCAATGTGTAATGCACACACTGTTTGTCATATGCTGCTGTGCTGACAAACAACCACTAAATATGTTCTTAAAAGCACTCAGAACTCCACAGAATAAAGTCAAAGCTGATTCAAATCAGTCCAATATTAAAGTAAATGAAAATGAAAGTGCTGTGCAAGGGGAAAGGGAAATTAGCATGCAGCATGTCACCACATTGTGCTCTAAGCCAGTGTTTCCCAACCTTTCTTTAGTCGCGGCACCCTTTGGAAATTTTAACAAATTTGTGGCACCCTACAAAATTAATTTTGTCACAATATTTGAATTTCTAACTTCGATATGATACTTTGAAAAGTATAGATATTCGGTACAGCAGGGAAGAACTGCAGAATATACTGTCATACGGATATTTTTAATATTATAAAAAAAATTGTCCATCAGTGGTGGCAATCAGTAGGCTCATTTCTAATGAAAAGACTAATTTATATGACAGATTTTAATGTAGGCTTTTATTCATATGTAAACATTGTGAGATAGCTAGTTATAATGGTAATTAAACAAAGTTTTGCTCACTCAAGTGTAGATATTCGGTACAGCAGGGAAGAACTGCAGAATATACTGTCATACAGATATTTTTAATATTATTAAAACATTTTGTCCATCAATGGTGGCAATCAGTAGGCTAATTTCTAATGAAAAGACTAATTTATATGACAGATTTTAATGTAGGCTTTTATTCATATGTAAACATTGTGAGATAGCTAGTTATAATGGTAATTAAACAAAGTTTTGCTCACTCAGTGTATTTTTGATTTTACAGTTGGGTAATTTTGTTGCAATAGCACGAGATGGCTTGATTTTAAACTTTGAATTGAATAAAAAATGACAAGGAGGCTAAGCAGTTAATAATACAATAAGAATAAATAAAGAGATGACTAATGATAGCACAAATTAAAAAAATCACGATAGGCCTACAAATTGTACTACATAGATGTTTCCTGTCAGCTCGATTTTTGAGTGGACTTTGCTGTTCCGATGAGCATGAACGGTATATGAGTGGAGGCGGAGCACTCACATGGGTCGTGAGCGTGAGCGACTGAGCGGAGCACACACACGCATAGAGCGGGATAATACGCAGAGGCGTCATGCCCCCTCAGATTTTTGAGCCAAGTGGATTTTGAATGCAGCTTCCAAAAAACTAAAAATAGCCAATTAATATTTTCAAATATTTCCACATAGTGAGATAGATATGTGGGGGCGTGTTAGAATGAGCCGTTTTATGGGGGCGTGGCAGAGTCTTAACTTTGATAAAGAATATCTCTTTGGTTTTGAGACTTTAGTCTTTGCAACTTCAGGGATCTTATCAGCTTGTAACACTCCAAAGAGAAAGTAAAACTTGAAATCGCATCATATGACCCCTTTCATTAAAGGGGTCAGATCACACAGAGGCACACAGTCTTACCAGCTGAAAAAATAGTCTTTTACACTTTATCCTGTTAGTTAGGTCTTTGTTTCTCTCCACACATGGCTCAATTCTGTTGTTAGTCTTATCTCTCACCTGAAGCTTACGAGACTCACCGTTTCAAGCTAAATTATAAACATACCTTTCAGACATTTTGATTCCAATGCCAAACGTTTCAGAATATTAAAGCAATTTATTGACACACAGAACAGTGAACATGTACAGGCATTTTCATAACAATATCCACCACACTAGCAGTCAGATGTTTTTCTCAGTATTTAAAGACACTGTATTTTGTACACCACTGTGATTGTGATTAGGACAGTACACACTGTGAGCAATTTCCTGCTTGTTATGTAGAGTTAAATAATAGAAATAATAAAAGTTTTTGAAGAAAAAAAATCTTTTCAGGGTAGGAGGAAAGTAAATTCACATAACATTAATTCAATGTAAAAATGAATCTGAATTTGATATGCTTCAATATATGGAGACAACTCCACAATGAGATGCCTAGTGATTTTATTTACAGAGAAGTACTGTGCTAGTACCATGGTACAGTGATGTGGTACTGTGATATATACAGTGGTGAACCATATGCATGTTCTATTTACATCGTACTTAGTAGTTTGAAGAATACTAATATGGTACATGTTCGTAGCATTTGCATGCATTTGGACATGTTTGTTAGTGTTTCATTTTCATCGATTTTCAGACTGGCTTTTAAAGCTCAGATACAGAGAGCTGACCATCGTAGCCTCCTCAGGCAGTGACTCCTTCATGTCTGTGTGTTTCATGCACAGTAGAGTTCCCAACAGTTTGGGGGACTTCAAGGTGAAAAGTAGGTAGATACACGGATTGGCAACACTGTTCAGGCTCGCCAGCAACATGAGGATGGTGAAGGTTGCAGCTGAAATATAAAAATATATATACTGGTTAGATAGCAGTCATTACATTTGGTCACATTCTTAATAAATATCCCTAAACATTTTATATTAATTGAGCATAGCTCTGTGTAACATGTAGGAGAGAGTGGGGAAATTGGAACATCTTCCATCAGCTTAACCAATCAGAAATGAGTTACAGGGGTGGCATCAAATTTCATTCATGATCACCTTCCTAAGGTACAAGTATCCATGTTTAAAAAAGGATTTTATATATATATATATATATATATATGGATCAAAAACATTATGATGTCCGCATCAAAAGAAATTGACAAAAGTGATTTTATGTCCATAGAAAGCACATTAAATGTAAGTAAAGTGTCTACTTTTAAGGTTTCAAATAAGTTTTTGGAGAATAAAATGTCAAAATTTGGTTGAAATAATGTCACATTGTCATTCAGTGTAACACAATGTTTATGTAAAAATTCAAACAACATGCTTATTCTGACGTGTACATATTAAAATATATAAAAGAATAATGGAGTATATTAAATTTGATTGGGTTTTAAATTAGTAAAAAATTCTTACTGACAAATGGACAAAACCTAGGATAGTGGCAAATTTAAAAAATGTAAAATTACAACTAATTAGTATTTGGGGTGAAAGTAATTAGTCTTTTAATATGTCATAAATTGATTTTTGTTGTAAATATGCCTGACAAGATTGTTACACTGAATGACATTTTAGTGGGTCTTAGTGGGATATTTATTTTTTGCTCAGAAAAACAAAAACAAAATTGCAATTAAATTAAACAGAATTTTTTTTTTACATTTTTTTGGGGAAAAACAACAACAATTTAAAGCAGTATTACACTTATTGTTTTTATGCTTAAACCCTTTTTCGTCTTTGACCCATATATATATATATATATATATATAATACAGATAGTTCGCTTTTATTTCTTTGGTTCATTAAAATTATTTGGTGGAAGATGCATGCAGCACTACTTCTGCCATGTTAATATTCGATGTGACTCTCAGGACACGCCTCGGTCTTCATAGTGTTGTGATGCTTCATATTCACGTAGCAGCAGTGGTGATGAGAGAACGCGCTTGAGAAACAGTTTAGAAAGGAGAAATCACATCGTAACTCTCACCCTGATTAAAAACGATGTAGGTCTACAAATCTTTAAATAACAATGATAAAACACCATCATTCGGTGTGTGAAATTCAAGATTCTCCTCCATCACTTTATTTTATATTTTATTAAATTTGTCAGTAGGAGACGATAAACAGAAATATTAGCGTTTTTTTTCTCCCAAAAACAACTTGTCACCTTGTATCAGCCCTATTATTTTTTATAAAGGCATACTATATCTTAAGCATTTTACATGTAGGTTAAGATTAAGATTAAGATTAAGATTAAGACGGCACAATGCTATTTATTAACACTTAAAGACCCAACAGAACAGTGTTTCTTAGAAGACTTTGTCTTATTCTCAGTCGGAGCGTCCGCGTCCCACACAGACCACAGCTGAACGGTGAAGAACGGAGCCCAGCACACGGTGTAGGCAAGCACGATCACCACCGTCATCTTCACGGTCTTAATCCGAGATTTAGACACCGACGCCACGTTGCTGGTTCTGGAGGAAAGAGGGTGCGGGTGTCCACCATCACCTCCCTGCTGCTGCTGCTGCTGCTGCTGGGTCTTCAGGTACAGATTGATCTGCAGCGCGCGGCAGATGCGCACCTGGCACACCGTCACAGTTACGATGGGCACCAGAAATATCACCAACGTCGTCCACGTCATGTACGCTTTAGGTCCCCACGGCTGAATGAACTCTGCCCAGCAGTCGTAGACACCCGGGGCGATCTGAACCCTGGAGAAAATAAACAGTTGCGGGACGCTGAAGACGAACGACACGAGCCACGCGACGCACACGGGCAAGTTCCAGTGCGCGCGCCGCCTCTGGAAAGTCACCATGGGGTTGCAGATCGCCTGATAACGGTCAACAGTCATCACAACTATCATATAAGTGGAGGCGAACATGCCGACGACCTGCAGATACTTGACCAAACGACATACGAGGTCAGGGCCGATGAAACGGTCTGTTATGTCCCACATCAGCTGTGGACACACCTGGAAAAAGGCGACCACCAGGTCCGCCAAACAGAGATGGGTCACAAACACGCGCATCCTGGACATCTGCTGTCTCTTCTTCCACAAAACCAGCAGCAGACCAAAGTTCAGAGCTGATGAGCAGAGAAAGATGACGCTCAGCAGCGCGATCTCGATTTGAGCTAAATGCTCGTTCCGGGGTTCGTCTCCGGTGGCTTCCATCTCCAAAGTTGCATTGCTTAAGTTTAATGTAAGCACAGGCATTTTCTTAATATCTTAAGAGTCTTAAACTAGTTCAAGTTCAGTAGGTGCAGTTTAACTGTCCCAGTGCGCACAAGACTGTCAGTATTCACGCGTCTGCACATCTTTAGTGTGTGTGAGGGTGAGCGGAGACTAGAGGTTCTATAGGTTGCTCTGATGGATGGGGGAGGGTCTTTCATACAAATACTTATGAGCATAAGATGGTATTCAGAAATCCACAAGCTGAAAAGATGGACTATATGTTCTTTATACAAAGACATTCGCTCTCTGTCAATTTTGCTTAATAAATATTTACTCTGGACCTTCCAGATAGAGTTGTATTTATAATGTAGCCAACATAGGTTATCTCCATTTCATTACTTAAGTGGCTAAAACCAATAAGTTGCACCAATTATGATTTGGGAGTCATAAGTAATAGTTCACCCAAAAATGAAAATTTGCTTATAATTTACTCACCCTCAGGCCATCCTAGATTTTATTATTATTTGGATAGTTCAACCAAAATTTATATATAAAATCAATAGAGTTTAAACAAAATTGGACCCAACTTTGATTCTATAGACAAATCCACACACACACTGAAACTTTTTTTTTTTTTTTTTAATATATGAATGTTTCGTTCCACAGAAGAAAATAAGTCATGCAGGTTTAAAATGACATGAGGGTGAGTAAATGATGACAGATTTGTCATTTTTGGGTGAACCTATCCGTTTAAATTCTCTTAAACTCTCCAAAGAGAAAGGAAAAATTGAAATCGCATCATATGACCCCTTTAAAAAGCTGTGGGACTGTATAACAACAATAATCAATGCAAAAATGATATGACACAACCTACCCCTAATGTCAATGTGAAATCATTATCATATTAAGTAATTCACAAACATATAAAAAATAATGCTTAAGTAATCTCCGAACATCCATGGACTTTAAAGCAAGACAGCACGACACTGTAAAACGTGATGTGGGCTACTTTATTTCAAAGTAAACACCTGGAGAGCTGGTTGCATAACCTTCTAATAACTATGAACTGTTGACAAAAGGAACATAATTTTTCCTTATAATGAAACCATGGCTACAGCTTCATATAAGATGTCTTCTCTGCAGGAGAGCTAAATTACTCCCTTCACTATAATAATTACACCACTCTGCTGAAAGGGCAAAATCCCACATCAAATAAACAAAAAACAAAATGAACTTTGCATCATTGCGTCATTCAATTTAGATGAATCCTTGTTCAAACCAATTACATTAATGAATGAATATGATATTATGTCAAACTAGGGAACTTCATGAATAATTAATAAAAGAAAACATTTTAGAGAGTGTTTATGATGCCCATGGTTCAACGACGGGGTAAATACTCCATATGTTAAAGCGTTCTAAATCTGAAAATGTGCACTTTAATGCTCCAAGACATTTTCTGCACCCTGACAACCATCCAAAAAGCCAATGGCCAATACAAATTCCCAAGATAGCAACAATAGATATACCTAAACCTTTGGTTGCATTGTATCTGCAAAGGCATAGGACAAAATAAGAAAAGTGTTATATGACTGCCCTGATGGTTCCTTCTCTCAATATCCATTGACACTATGGAGGTACACCTTCTCAACACAGACTCATAATGCATTATTGCACATGCATGCAGAGACATAAGCACTTCTGACACAAGTGTGTTTCCTTATCTGGCATCAGGATGTGCTGAGGGTGGCCAGGAGTTCCTCTTTGCTCATCTGATAGTGGCTCTTCTTCCATGTGTCCCTTAGCTTCTGAAGGATGGTGCCGATCTCTTTACCTGAGGTAAAACCCAGTTTGCGTAGGTCATGGCCACTCACTGGGAAGCGAGGGATGGACCACCTGCTCAGCTCAACTAAGAGTTTCTTTTCTCCCTGATACTTCAGCAGCTCCAGTACTTTACTCTGGGAGTCCGGCTCTCTAGACTTCAATGGAAAAAAAACAAAAAATTATATATATATATAAATCAGTGTTGTACGGAAGAGGATTAGGGCCAAGCAATAACAAAAAAATAAATAAAACCATCTCGAGATTAAAGTCATTATAATACGAGATTCAACTCGTTAAATTTCAAGAAAAAAGAATAAACACACTCGTGTCATGTTCATTTTATCTCGTTGGACAGTGTTGATCAGCGTTTGCAGTGGCACAGGTCGTAGAGAGTAATGCTTGCGTATGTGGCCGACCAGAGTTTGTTTCCGCCTTTTGCCAAACTTGCTCTTCTTCCTTTTTTCATCACATCGGATGCTATTTAAACTAAGTGAAAATTGTGATATATTCAATTTACTCTAAGTGACAACAGCAGCATTTTTAGTGATGTGCTATTTACACTAAGTGAAAATAGCCATTCTAGTTACGCTATGTAAAAGTAGCAGATCTTTGCAATAAGTGTAAATAGTAATTAGATGCTATTTATACTTATAAATAGTGACAGATACTATTTGCACCTCAGTATTGTTGTACATTAACAGGATGCAATAATAACAGAGTGTAAATGATTTTATTTATTAAAATGATTAAATAGACGCTGCCTTACTGGAAAAAAAAAAAAACCCTATAGCCTACTAACCCCTAAACCTACCCAGTTAATACATCATTATTAAACACTCGTTAGGCAATTGATTTCCACTTTTCCGATGTGATATGTGATGAAAAAAGGAAGAAGAGTGAGTTCGGCAAAAGGCAGAAACAAACTCTGGTTGACCGCATACGTGAGCATTGCTCTCTACGACCTACGCAACTGCAGACGCTGACTAATACAATCCAACGAGATAAAATTAACATGACACGAGTGTGTTTATTCTCAACATTTAATTTCGGCTTTTTTCTAGAAATTTAACGAGTTTTTTCTCAAAACTCAACAACATAATTCTCAAAATTTAATGATTTTATTCTCAACATTTTATTTAGACATTTTTCTTGAAAATGTAATGAGTTTAATCTCGTATTATAATGACTTTAATCTCGAGATGGTTTTATTTATTTTTTTATTATTGCTTGGCCCTAATCCTCTTCCGTAGTGTTGTTATTATTAACTAAGACTACTTAAAAAAAAAATTCTTGGTAATTTAAATAAATCTGAAATAAAATAAAAATGTAATACATAGAAAATATAATATAAAATATATAGAAAAACTTAGAATGTAGAAATGTTGCTAACTAAACTAAAAGTTCTGAAGTTCTAAAATATGTACTAAATTTACTAAATTTTAAATAAAATAAAAATAAAAATATTTTAAAAAAAATTTAATGACAAAAGCACATAAAATGACTCAAATTTAAACTAAAACTGTTAAAGGGGTCATATGATGCGATTTCAAGTTTTCCTTTCTCTTTGGAGTGTTACAAGCTGATTGTGCGTAGATAAGATCCCTGAAGTTGCAAAGACTAAAGTCTCAAAACCAAAGAGATATTCTTTATCAAAGTTAAGACTCTGCCACAGTGTGTGTGTGAGAGAGAGAGAGAGAGAGAGAGACAGGGTCACAGAGTCAGCTGTCTTAACCATGGCTTGTGTACTGCAAACACATTGCATCATATGACCCCTTTAACAAAAATATAAAAATAAAAGCTAATTCAAAATATTAATAAATACTACAGTAGTACACAAAACTAAAATAACACTGGAATGACAGTTTTAATGATTATGGGGATAAAGTGGGTCTTACAAAAAATGCATTTGTTAAACAAACATCAGTATGTCAAAATGCTTTATATTAAATTAATTTAATTTTAATTAAAACATTGTACATTGATTTAATTTTGAATTAAATTTAATCAATGTACAGCAACTGATGTAATTAAATTTTTTGTACTAAACTTTAGAAGGGAAGGAAAAGTACATACATCAATGATGAAATCTGTGTACAGTTTCATGCCGTCATGTTCGTCCTGTCCCTTAACGAGATCTCGCCTGTATTTGACCAGGAACAGGCCCAAGTTTTTCTCCTCTCTGGATAGTTTCAGTCGCAGATCCAGTTTCTCCACATCCTCCTGGCTTCGGAACAGAGCAGCCAGGATAGTCATGGGTTTAGGAGAGCTGTCATGAGCCTTCTGCCAGATCTGCTTCATCTCCTCAACATTGCCATCTGCTGGAAGACCTGCAGGAAAAGACACCGCAAGTCTGAACATTTATAATATAAAAATTATTCTGATATATATGTTACATTCATTAAACAAACAAAAAAAAAGATTTAATATGAACAAATGTTTTCCTTTTTACATCTCCAGAAAGTTACATTACCATTTTTATGCCCCACAAAAAATATCAAAGTTAACTTTAATTCAAAAATTTAAAGCATGTTCATCATAGAAAACTGTCCATATGAATTGCATTTTTAAATGCATTATGAATAATAAATTCGGATGGAAACCAATTAGTGACAGGCAAATGTCCATTATATTTTTAGATTTTCAGCCACAGTTCCTTACAAATATTTGCATCACTATTTTTTGTTTCTCACCTGTGTACTGGGCAAGGCCCAACTCATAGACAAGCTCCAGCAGGTGATCAGCATGGTTTCCAACCAGCATCTTCTTCAGCTCCACCCAGATTCTCTCACCTGAGATTCCTGCCAATCCTCTGCCATTCTCTCTTATTGCCTCCAGAGTCTCGGGTTCATGTTTCTCAGGTTCAGTTGCCACCCGACCATAAAATCTACAGAGCAATCAGACAAAAAAATAAATAAATAAATAAAGATGAACCACATTAGCCATTTACAGGCTTTACAGTGGACTTTACTTTATAATGTTCAATGAAAAATGTTATTGTAAAAAATATATATTGTAAAATTTAAAGGGATAACTCTGTTATAATTTATTCACCTTTATATCATTCCAAAGGCATATATTTCTTCCCAGTAATAGCACATAATTACCTGAAGTATCTTAGAATTCGAAGGTAGTCCTCTTGGATCCGCAGTGAGGCGCTGCCGACAAACCTTACTTTCCTGTTCTTGAGGTCCTCATATCCTTGGAAATAATCATAGAGTGTCCCATCCAGCCCTGTAAAAACACAATAAAGGACAAATCAAATACACAAAAATGTTAATTATTCCAAATGAAATTTAACAAATCAATGAAGAATTCATTCATGAAGATATTAAATTGCAAAGCTCATGCAGGTGAAATATTCTTTTAGAAACTCCTTATGTTTTACCAAGAAACATGGAGTTGATGGTGAGATCTCTGCGCTCTGCATCCTTCTGCCAGTCAGTGGTAAACTCCACCTCTGCGTGCCGCCCATCAGTCTGTACATCCACTCGCAATGTGGTCACTTCAAAGTTCTCATCATGAAGCTATAAAATGTATAAATCCTTATGTTTCAGTTTGCGGATATAACATTGACATTATGTGGAGAATTGTCACAAATTAAAACA